GGTGACTGCAAAAGGCTCGCCACCGGAAGATTGTGCGAAGACATATGAGACGGCTGTTGCTGCTGCTGCTGCTGCTGCTGCTGCTGCTGCTGCTGTGGGCTATGCGCAAGCAGGAAGCCCGAGCTCATGGGCCGATCATCAATGACCGAGCTGGCCGGCGGTCCACCCGAGCCGCCACCTGGGGTCGGAGCAAAGCACTCTCGCGGGAGATACCCCGCCAATAGGGGGCACCCAGTCCCGAGACCCCCCACGCCAAGGGGATCGGCCGTGGTCGGCGTTGCGGCAACCATCACCGGAGCACCCCGGCCCGGGGTGACCGGCGGCCCGCCACTGCCACCGGGCGTCAGGGGAAAGCCGCCGGTCGACTCCTCAAGGTGGTGGAAATGCTGATAGTGTGGGTGCAGCTGCGATTGCAGGTGCGACTGCTGCGACAATTGCATGTGGAAGGGCGAATGCGCGGCATCCAGATCCGTGGTAGACCCGCTGGACGAGAGACGACCCGATACCAGGGGGATCCCAGTGCCAGGGCTTGGCGGGACGGCACTGCCGACCGGGCCAAAAAGACCGCCCCCGGCCATGAGGCCAGCCGCCGACACCGGATCACCGCAAGCCCGGCCCGAGGCGGCCGTCATTGCCAGTGCCACATGGTCGGGAAAGGCCCGGAGGCCACCATGCAACGATCCCAGGGCCACGGACGAGGGCAACCCCGTGGCCGGGTGGTGCAATGGCGTGGCCGAGGCGGCATTGGCGGCCGTGACTGCCGCCGCCGCCGCCGCCGCTGCTGCTGCCGCTGTTAGAAGGCTCCCCCCGGCCAAGGGAGAGGCAGCGGTGAAGACTCGCGCGCTGGCGGACAGTGGGTGCGACAAGTTCGTCGCACTGCCTGGGGCTGCCGCGCTGCCGATGTTCTCCAGAGTCATGGGAGTCGGCGGATCAACAAAACCCCCATCGCGGGGAGGAGCCAAAGCGAGGGTGTTGCTGCTGCTGCTGCTGCTGCCAGGTCGACCGGGGAGCGCCATGGGCCCGGCGGTGGCGGGGGCGGGGGCCGCGGCAGCGGCGGCTGCCACCACGCCGGCAGCCGAGGTGTGCCCCGAGACGCCGACCGAATCCAGCAGGCTCGCCTGCGATCCAGATGCCGAGCGCATGACTGCATCTCGCGCTGGTGATGGAAGCTGCTGGCCGAGCAGCAATGGCCCAGGGCCAGCCGGCCGGGGGAGATGCGTGCTGGCCGTGGCCGCCGCGCCCGGAGGCATGAGCGACAGCGAAGAAACCGACGTCACCAGGGGCCCGGTCGAGACAGCCTCACTTGGCCGACCGGACAGAGACCCGCCTTCGATCGGGCACACAGGAACGCGGACGGGGAAATTAGGCAGTCAGCACACCAAGTCGAGGAGAGGATGGGAGGAGGAAAAAAAGAAAAGAAGGGAAAGGGGCGGAGCGAGCCCCTGCCCAATAGGATGCACAACAGGTGAGAGAGGCATACCCGGGGCGCAGGATGCACCAAGGTGGGGGCGGCAGGCTGCTGCTGGTGGCGGCCGCCGGCCAGTGGGGTTGACATTCTGAAAGTGGCCACCGGCAACCGGGCGCCCAGGGCCGTGAGCCGTAGCAGCAGCAGCAGCAGCGGCGGCGGCGGCGGCGGCGCCCGGGCCCGACATCGCAGCAGGTGCGGGCGGCTCCGGCGACAGAGTCAGGTCGATGACAATCGACGAAACAATCGGCCGCACGGCCGGTGGGATGCGCGGCCGGGCCACGCCCCGGGCCATGGGCTCACCCATGGCGGCGGCGGCGGCGGCGGCGGCGGCGGCGGGGCGCGTGACTTGGCCACCGCCCATATGTGCATTCAGCATGGCCGGCACCAGGGTGCTGGCGCTGGCGGAGACGCCCTTGAGGAGGGCCGGCAGGTCGGATGTCAGGAGGTTGCCATTGACCGCTTGGTGGCAGCTGCGGCAGGTGCACCGACTGCCGGCCAGCCGCGGCCCGGCCGGCGTGCCGTAGCCCCCGCTGCAAATACACCGGATCCCAGCCGGGAAGGGGATGCCCGCCTTGCTGCAGGCTCCGCTCAAGCAGACCGGAGCCACGCCGGAGAAGAAGCTGCTCACGTCGCCGGTGATGAAGGGGTGCGCCAGGGCCATGGATGCGGTGATGCGCTTGCTCGGCTCGTAGGTGAGCAACTTGCGGATCAGGTCGAACAGAGCTCGGACATTCGGGTCGCTGGAAGAGCAATGGTGCTAGGGGGTGGGAGGGGATGGGAAGCGTGTGGGTGTGGGTGGGCGGGTGCGGGTGTGTGTGCCGTCGGAGAGGCGGGAGAGGGCAGGGAGGGTGCGTGTCAGGAGGGGCCGCCTGTGTCTGAGCAGCGGGGGAGTCTCCGACGGGCGCCAGGGGGCGACCGAGCGGCGGGGCAGGTGTGCGCTCTCGGAAATGACATGACAAACGCACCCGGATGTCCTTGAGCTTGCGCACGCGGCGCAGGCTGTTTTCGCTGGTCTCCGGTGAAGGGAAGGCCAGCTTTCGGTCACGGCCAAACATGCGCGAGGCGATGGTGCTGGTTTGCATGGATGCCGGAATGTCGGACCCGCACACCTGCGCCATCATGGCCAGGTGCTCCAGGTCGTTGTGGGTGTGGAAGAGCGCATCGCCACTGTAGAGCTCGCTCAGCACACAGCCCAATGCCCACATGTCACAGGGGAAGGACCAGCCAAGGCCGAGGACGATTTCCGGCGCCCGGTAGTGCCGGGTGCAGACAATGTTATACCGGTATCCCTCGGGATAGGTGTCATTGAAGACCGTGGAACCGAAGTCGATCAAACGGATCATGGTGTTGGACAGGAGTCGCCCGCCGCCGGACCCCGGGGCCGTGGGAAGGAAGCTGCCCGAATCCATCAGGAGGATGTTCTCCGGCTTGATGTCCGTGTGGACGAGACGAAGTTGGTGGATGACTGGATGCGCGGACACGAATCGAGGGGGAGGCCGGGCGAGGAGAGGGGAGTAAGGGACAACAGTGGAAACATGCTGGGGGAAGTCCCCTGGATGGAATAAGAGAGGGGAGGGAGGGGAGGGAGGGGAGGGAGAAGGAGGGAGAAGGAGGGAAGAGGGAAGAGGGAAGAGGGGAGAGGGGAGGGAGGGGAGGGAGGAAGGAGGAGGGAAGAGGGAGGAAGGAGGAGGAAGGCAGGAGGAGGGAAGAGGGAAGAGGGGAGACGCACACTGGATCGATCGGAGGAGCTGTCGCGCAAAATCCCGGATTTGGTACAGAGGGAAGGGCCGATACTGGAGCTCCTTCAGGAAGTCGAAGAGCGACTGGCCGTGCATCTCGAAGACCATGGAGATGTGGTTGCGGAAGTCGAACCACTCGCGCAGGCGAATGCAGCCCATCTGGTCACTGGGGTCCGATGTGCGGATGCGATCCAGCACGCGAATTTCCGTCTTCGCGGCCTCGCGGTACTGCGGAGGGATAGGGGAGGGGGGGGGGAGGGATTGACGAACCTTCGGGTCATTGCGAACAATCTTGATGGCGACCGTTCGACCGGTGCCACGCTCAATGCATTGGGCCACACGACCGAAGGTGCCGACGCCGATCATTTTGACGATTTGGACTGCCAGGAGAAGGAGCCATAAAGGGGGAGAGACAGGGGAGATGGCGTCAGTTACGGGCTACATGTATGCATGTGTGTGTGTGGGGGGGGGGGGGGGTGCGGCTGCACGGGAGACGGGCTTTGCGAGAGGGGAGCTCCCAGGGAATGAAAGCAGGTAACAGGGGGACAGACGCACAGCGCTCGCTGTAGTCATCCCCAGGATGCAGCTTATAATGGCCATCCGGCTCGTCGTAGGATTTGTCGGCCTGCGCACGAGCAGCCGCCCGTGTGGCGGCGGCCGTTGCACCGGTCTGCCGGGGATTCGACCGGGCAGCCACGGGATTGTTGGCCGACGAGACGGCCGGCCGACCGCGCCCACGCCCGGATGACGCCGCAGGCTTGGTGATTGACGCGGCGGCGGCGGCGGCGGCCGCGGCCGCTGCCGCCGCAAGCGGGGCATTCGGCAGGGGACGCACCCCGGCGGCCGAGGCGGCCGGGCCTCCAGCCGGGAGCAAGGACACACTGCCCGCGGAGAAGGGGATCGATGCTGCGGTGGTGGTGGTGGTGGTGGCGGCGGCTGCGGCCGCGGCGGCGGCCGCGGCGGCGGCTGCAGCGGCCGCCGCAGCCGCAGCAGCCGCGGGGATCACCACCGGGATCGAAGCCGCCGGCGCCTGGGCGTAGGCCACGGGGTGGGCCCCGGCCGTGGCTGTGACTGCGGTCGTGGTGGCAGTCGCGCGCCGGCGCGAGCCGCGGCCAGTGCCAGTCGCGCGACCGGCGGCCGAGGCGGCCTGGGCGCCGAGGTCGCCTGACAAATGCACAGTGGAGATCATCGGGATTGAGACCGGGAGCGGGGTCGGGGCCGGGGCCGGTGCCGGGGCCGGTGCCGGCGCCGGCGCCGGCGCCGATGCGACCTTTGGACGGGTGGAGCCGCGACTGGCGGGACTGGCGGCAGCGCATGTGGTCGAATTGGCGGCACTTGTTCGGGAGGCCGGCTGGCGGCGCTTGGGAGCCGGCCGGACTGCCCCCGTCGAGGAGGGGGTGGCCGGAAGATGCACCGCCGGCGGGGGACCCACCTGGTCGGTGGCGAAGGCATCACCGGTTGACGAGGCGCCGGCTGGCCGATGGGCTGGCAGGTGGCGATGGCAAAGGGTCAGCACATACACACGCGCGCACACACACACACACACACACACACACACACACACACACACACGCATGTGCCAGGGGGTTGTCGTGCGTGGCCGGGAGCCGTCACAAAATGGCCAGCAGAAAGGCCGAAAAGCGAGGAACACATACCGAGGGAGGAGGTGATGAGGATCGGGCATGGGGCCGCCTTGACGGGGGAAAGGGACGAGGAGGACACCTTGCCGGCACCCTTCAGCCGGGAGGCGCCGGCACCAGCACGGGGCTTCCCCTCGGTTGCGGGGCCATTGCCGACGTTTGTGGAAGCGCCCGGGCCGGCGGCCACACGCTTGCGGCTCCGGCTGGCGGGCTTGGCATCTGCAAGCGGGGGGGGGGGGGGGGGGGGGGGGGGGGGGGGGGGGGGGGGGGGGGGGGGGGGGGGGGGGGGGAGAACAAGGCGCGACAAGGCCCCCCCCCCCGGGGGGGGGGGGGGGGGGGGGGGGGCATTCGAGAAGGTCAGTGGCAGGGGGAATGCCTGCAGGCGCAGGCGCAGGCCCTGGCCCAGTGGGTGCCGGAGGGGGAAAAGGAAGGGCCGAAGGGAGGAAGGAAGGCCGCCGTACCGGGAACCGAAGGCCTGGACACATCAATCATCGGGTCCAGGGGGAGACCCTCGGTTGAGAGGCCGGGGGCGGCGACAGAGGCGGCGGCCGCGGCCGCGGCGGCTGCCGCGGCAGCCACCGCCGACGGGGAACCCGCGGCCGAGGAGCCCCCAGACCCCGGGGCCGAGGAGGGGGAAGTGGCGGCGGCCGCGGCGGCTGCCGCCACAGCTGCCGCCGCCGCCGCCGCCGCCGCCGATCGGGTGACACGATGCGCCCCGGCGGAGGTCTTGCCAGCGGCCTTGGCCGAGGGCTTGCCGGTGCAGGGGCGCCCGGCACTGGCACTGGCGGCGGCTGGCTTGCCCGCGGCAGGCGGGCTGGCCGGACCGGAGCTCGCCGCAGTGCCGGGCCCCGGCACGCCGATGGCAGTGGTGGAGGGAGTGGTGGCGGTGGAGGTGGGGGTGGTGGTGGTGGCAGCGGCTGCGGCCGCAGCAGCCGCCGTGGCTGGCAAGACGCCCACATTGGCGGCGGCAGCGGCGGCCGCCGCGGCCGCTGCGTACTTCACCGCGGCGGCGGCCACCATTGACGTGTGCACGCTAACATTGGCCGGCGGCGGGATCGGGCTCGGATTGGAGGCAAGGAAGGACGAGTCGCCGACCGATCCGAAGGACATCATAGCAGAGGGACGTGGCGTCTCTCGGGCGAGGGGCGGGGGGCGGGCGGTGATGCTCGCGCGCGCGCACTCGCGCGGGGGCCCCCTTCAGGAGGGTGGGTACGGGCGTGGGCGGACGCGCGACCGTGGACGTGGACAAACGCGCGGCTGCGGGCGACCAGCGATGGGCAGGCAGGCAAGCGAGCAGCTGCCGGCGACCGGGGGACAGCCAAAGGGAGCGAAGACGATCGGTCAGGGGGGGGGAAGGGGCGGTAGATCGGGCATGCAAGTGCGAATGACAGCCTGGGAGGAAGCCTCGGGCGGACTGGCGAAAGGCAAACGCCCCACAGAGGCAGGCGGGGGGGGAGGTGGGGGGAGGGAGGGAGAGCGACTGCCAGGAGAGAAGAGGGGGGATATGTACGTGTGCGTGTACGGTGTGCGTGTACGGGGAGTGGGAGCGTGGATGGAGGCGGCGGCGGGGACGGAGACGGGGGCGGGGGCGGGGGCGGGGGCGGGGACGGGGACGGGAAGGTGCGTGTGTCTGGAAGGGGGAGAGTGAGTGAGTGAGTGAGATGCGCAGGAGCGCTGGGTGCCAGGCGGGGGGGAGTCGCGGGGAAAACAGGAAGCCGCTTGAAAATCTCCCGATCCGGGTCAGGAAGCGGCAGCTTCCCGGGAGGAGGAGGAGGAGGAGAGGGGCCGATCCGTGTCGGCCAGATTCCTAGATGGCTGGCATCGTGTGGGTGTGTGGGTGTGTGGGTGTGTGGGTGTGTGGGTGTGTGTGGGGGTGGGGGTGAGTATGTGTGTATGAGAGAGCGAGAGAGCATCTCCTCCACGGAAGAGGCCGGCAGGCACACTGGGACCCGCGCCGGTGTGCTCGAACAGCCGGAATTACATCGCATGAATTGCATGCAGCGGAGATGCCACCTGGGAGGCCAATGCGCGGTGCAGGGCATTTGCCGGGCGCATGTGCCCGAGCATGCGTGCGCGTATGCATGTGGGTGTGGGTGTGTCCAAGCATGTGTGTGCGTATGTCAGCCCGGCATCCGTGTGCCTTCGGGCGGGTGGCGAGTCTGTAAGAAGCGGCCCGGGGTGGCGGGCGCGGCGCGGCCGGGCGGACGCCCAAAGCGGCCGGTGTGACCGTGGGCGTTTCCGATGTGCCGCGGCCCAGGGGCGTGTGTGAGTGGCGTGGCGCCCGGCCGGGCCCAGCGCAGAGAAGAGAAGCCCAAAGGGCTCCCGTCCGTCCCCCCCCCCCCCCCCTCTCCCCATCGGCTTGTTCTCCGCCTGCGACGCGGCCCGGCCGCGTGAGAAGACCAGGACCGGCCCCCGGCTCAGGCTGCCCGGCCGAGGGGGGGCGTCCTCGCAAAGGGCCTGGCTGGCGGCAGCGACGCAACGTGCGCTGAGCCATCATCACCCATGAAGCAGCCATTGCCAGCCCGCACCCCCCCCCCCCCGGAGCGGTAACAGAAGTCATCCGGCCCGGCACGCCGTTGCCGGCCGGTTGTGTGTACAGGGCGAAGCACATGTGCGTCTTCCGGGAGGGGGCCTGCCAAAGAGGCTGGAGCCCGCCTATCATCGACATAGCAGGGGGGGGGGGGTTGCTCAGGGAGAGAGACTGATGTGCGGCGGTGGCGGGCGAGAAGGCCCGGTGCCGCGGGCCCAGCCGGCACAACACCGGCGGACATCATGGGCGCATGTCGCCCCGGGCCCGGGTGGGCCAGGAGGGGGAGGCCGCAGGGGGGGGGGGGGACACCTGGCCGCGCCGGGCCGTTTGTGGGAGCATCTCGAGGGCTCCCGAGGACAGCCCCCCGGGCTGTTGCTCCGCAGACTGGGCGGGGTGGTGTAACTGACTTCGCCGGGCGATCTCGGTGGGACCCGGGGGCGCCGGCTGGCCGGCGCGCCCCATGCGCCGCAGGGCCGTGCATGATACGCGGAAGAAGAGGGACAGGGAGCGGGGGAGGCGGCCGCCAATAGACGGACGCGCGCACCGGCCGCCCCCACCACACCCGCGCCCGGTCCCTCCGGCCGCCGCCCGGGGGGGCAGAGCGCAGTTTCGACGTCCCCCGCCCAGGCCACGGGGCGTCGGGGGACGGGGCAATACACCGGGCGGGCGCCACACACACGCACACGCACATGCGCACACCCGGCTCACACATACCCACACACACACACAAGCCGGCACAACCAGCGAAGGAAGGGACTGCGCCGCCGCCCCAGCCGCCAGGGGCCGCGCGCACTCTCACCGCCCGCCCGCCCCCTGGCGCATGGCGCCATGGGAAGTGCGTGGCCCGGTGGGGCGGGGCGGCCTTCAAATGAAAAAGCAGGCCGCGTCCCCCCTGTTGGCCGGCCCGGCCGTGTGATTCACCCGGCTGTCTGGCCCGCCCTCCGCCTCGCCATCCGCTCGGGGCAGGGGCCTCCGCCGGCGGGTGGCGCCCGCGTGTGCGCGCGCCATGCCGGCCCGCGACCATGCTCGGGGCACTGACCGCAGGGCTCTCGTGGAATAAGGAGCGACCCCTTCACCAAGTCCACGCGGGGAGGGGGGGGCAGGGGCGGCGATCCATCAAACGTTAAGAAGCTTCGGCTGTCTGAAGGGGAAGCCGCGACCGGGCCGCCCTCGCCCCTGCCGTCGCCCGTTCCACGCACGCTCGCACGCACGCACGCACGCGCCGCGACCCCCCACCCAGACGGCGGTCATGCACACAGGGATGCATGCAAATGGCCGAGGCCCGGGGGCCCATGACACGCGCGCGCGCGCGCGCGGGGGCAGAACGAGCCACGGGCGCCTCTGATGCAGCAGCCGGGCTGGCCATCATTAGCAGCAAAGAAGGGGCGACGAAACAATACGGCCCCACACTGGGGCATGGGCATCATGCTCCGGGGGTTTGGGCTTGGGTATCGGGGGGCTTTTGGGGATGATGCGGTGACGAGGCCAGAATGCGCGCCCTCCAGGCAGAGGCGTACGGCGAGAGAGAGAGAGAGAGAGAGAGAGAGAGGGAGAGAGAGATACGCCGGGGCGAGACGGCCGTGTGTGCGTGAGTATGCTGGCATGCCTGGGGGGGGGGCCAGGGCGAGCGAGCCGGGGCCACAGCACCATCATGCTGGCGCCAGCAGCCCCCCCCCCCGGGCCAGGCCTGCGAGCGTACAGGGCCATTTCCCCTGTGGCATGCTGACTGATGTCGCCGAAGGTCGTGCGTGTGCGCGCGCGCCCGCGCGCGTCCCCCTCAACCCACCCCCCGGCCGCTGTACCTCTCCTCCGAGACTGTACGGGGGGGGCGGGGGGCGGGGGGCGGAAGTGTGAGGGCATCGTGCCCGGTCGGGCCGCCCACCCGCTTTGGAGAGTCTCTGCCGGCATGGCCCATCAAGCCGGCCGACACTCGGTGCAGGGGCGGAGGGGGGGCGACCAGCTGGGTGCCGGGCGGCCGGGCGGGAGCAGTCCACTCCCGCATGTGAGCACAGGCGGACCTTACCACCCCCCCCCCCCCCCGGGTCCACACCACAGGGGGGCAGGCTCAGCGGGGGGGGGGGGGGACAAAAAACAGGCACAACGGGAAGTCCATGGTGCCGAAGAACCATGGGGCCTGGCTCTGGGCCGGCGGTGAAATTCGCGGGGCGGTGGGAGTTCCCGGGAAGTCCAGATCAGAGCCTGCCAGATGGGTGCCCGCCGCTCTGGCCCGCGCCCGCGTCGAGGACCCTGGAGACGCACCCCGACGAGTGGCTGGACGGGGGGGGGGAGGGGAACCTTGACTTCTCTGGAGCCGAGCCAAATTAATATGGCGGCCTCGGCCGGGCCCCGCCGCCCGGCTCCTCCCGCTTTGGTGGCCCTCCCGCACCCCGGGGAAAGAGAGGGACAGAGCGAGAGATGGGGAGCCAGTGGCCATGGGCCCGAGGGCGGCGGCGGCAAAAACGCAATGGGGACAAATGAGCCGGCCACAAAGGGAGATCCGCCGCGCCGGCTCCTTCTTCCGCACGCTGGTCAGCGCAACATGGTTAATTCATGAGTGCCCCCGTTCGCCCGCTGCGCCCAGGGGCAGAGGAGCCTGCGCGGCCAGCGGCGCCCATCCACCGTGCCGGCACCGTCCGCCACTCCCCATGCACAAGGGCCGAGGGAGCGAGAGAGAGCGGGGGAATGGGAGAACAGGCGAGCGCGGCCGGGGAAAAAGGATCTCGAGATGAAGGGACAAAAATGGGGACACCGGTCCGGCTCCCCTGGCGGTGGGCCCAGCACAAACAATGCGCCCGGGCGGTTTTTCGGGAGCACCTCGGAGCACCGCATATCTCTGCTCGGCGCGAGATCGCCGCCCCAGAGGCGACGAAAACCATACAATCCTCCGTGCGGTCCCCCCCCCCCGCCCCTCCCCCTGGGACCTGACGAACAGAACTTGTGCATGCGCGCAAGTGCGCCTTCCAAGAGCCGGCCGGAGAACGCCGGCCCCGGCCTCTCTCCGCCCCATGGGGGTTAGGAGCGACACAGCCCGCCTCGACGCCAAGTGGTCCGCTCACACACACACACACACACATACATGCAATCCCGCGTCCCCCCGACGATGAGCAAACATACCTGCCCCGCCGACGCCCGGGGCCGAGGCAGCAGCGAAGCCCGTTCTTTGTAAACCCAAGCGTCCACGCGTACGCGGGTGTCCCTCGTATCTCCCCCGCCCCCCCCCCCCCCCGGGGGCGGGATGATTAATACGTCCGCCAGCCAGCAGGGGACAAGGCAGTGGGCCGGCAGACCAGGCGCTCCGGAAGAAACGCCCCGCCCCCTCTTTTCGTCCCGGATGCCACTAGACCAGCTCACATTGGCATACCGCATAATGTCCACATGCGTGCGTGCCCACACACCACGCACACGAACCACAACACACACCCACACACACGCACGGACAATCACCGGGCCTGAGCCGCGTCTTTCTGAGGGGCGCGGCTTCCTCGGGCATGCGGCCGGAGGAACCACGCGCAAGTCTCGCCTCAACACCCCCCCCCCCCCGGGGTTCTCCGGAAGGACCAGTCACCCCGCTCTGCTATGTGCCTGCTCGTGCATTGCTGCTCCTGGTGCCGCGCCTCGCCTTCGTCCGGCCTCCGCCAGTACGAGACCACGTCGCGGCCTGCCGGGATGCGGGCCGCCCTGCTGGACACATGGCAGTGGCGCCCTTGGCGCCAGTGTGAGTGTGGATTAAGAACCCCCGGTGAGTTACTCGCGTCATGCGTCGACACGCATCCCGGCAGGCGACGGGGCGCCTCGCCCGGCGAGACGGCCCGGCCTCTTGGGTTACATGCTGCTCCCGCTGCCGCCAGGATGCCTGGAGTAATAACAAACCACGCAAAAAAAGGCCTGGGCCCTCTCGTTCAGGCCCCGTCCACTTTTCTCTCCCCCGTCTCGTGTCCGAGTGCCATGGGCGCGCTCATGGCCGTGCCGGAAGCTCAAACGGCGACCGTCCCGGTGGGCCCACGGGCAGGCACAGTGGATAGCCCTCTCTCTCTCTCTCTCTCCTGGCAGGGCCGGACAGGGTCCCTGGCGAGGGGGCACGCCCGGCTCCGAGGCCTCCCCTTCAAACACCCCCCCCCTTCATCGCATTGAAGGCCCTGCCCCTGTCGTCCAAGGGACACCACCGGCCCAGGCAGGCATCACACACACACACACATACACACCCGCCAAGTCTCCCCGGCGGCGTGGGTCGACGCGGGGGCCGGCCCCCGTTCCCATCGGAAACTATGGCCAAGGAGGCGCTCTCGGTCGCCGGGCGCCGGGGAACCAGGGCCCGGTGAATTTAACGTGCGGCCGATCCGCCAGAACCCCGCCGCCCTGTCGGCACATGCGTGCCAATGGCCTGGCGCGTGATCGGCGCGCGCGCGCGCGCCCTGCCCCAGCCATGAGCAGGGTCGCCATGCCGGAGTCGTTCTGAAATACCCGCACCGGCGCCGGTGCTTCCGTGGCCCCGGCAAAAGTGCACGGGTCTGCCCCCTGGCCGCCGCCCATGATCCGCGCGTGCGCGCATTTCAATGTTTGGCCGACACACACACACACACACACACACACACACAAAGGGCTCTGCTCGCCAAGCATGCTCTCCCAATCTTGGCACTTTCCCGAGCAAAGAAGGAGGAGAGGGGGTGAGAGGTAACTTCTGTATTTCTCACAGGATGGGGCAGATGCCTGGAAAAGAAGAAGGCACTCTGGCGGGGAGAGCCGACGAGCACCACGTCCGGCGTCCTCCTCCGCCTCCCTTCCAGATGGAAGGAGATGGGCGTGCCCGGCCCCCTCTCCCCCCTTGCCCCCCTCTCGGATGAGGGGGGCAAGGGGTGCACAGGGAGAGCGCGTCCTTGGCACCCCGGATCCGGCCCCTGCTCCGTACAAACACAAACATCTGTGCAGAGGGGGCGAGAGGGGAGAAGGGCATAAGGAGCACAGCCGCCGGGATGGGGCCGCCAAGCACGTAGGGATGAGCGCGGACCAGGACCCACACATGCTCTCCCTCCTGGGGGGGACAAGATCGGAGGGAGAGATGGGAAGGATGGGGAAGCCCCACAGGCAGGGGGAGATTATGCAAAGGGCCCTCAGCCATGGAGGGAGAGAGAGAGAGAGAGGAGGGGGAGGGGCCCCGAGGCAAAGGTCAGTCTTGGCACAGGCTCTGCAGGCCCGAGAACGGCGGCCGAAAGAGGGAGGAG